TATCTTGCCCTTAGCCTAGGGGCATTTGCTCTGTCCTAGAAGAGAGAGAGAGACAGAGAGAGAGAGGGAGAGAGACAGAGAGAAACAGAGAGACAGAGACAGAGAGACAGAGACAGGGACAGAGACAGAGACAGACAGAGGGAGAGAGAGGGAGAGGGAGAAGGAGAGGGAGAGGGAGAGGGAGAGGGAGAGGGAGAGGGAGAGGGAGAGGGAGAGGGAGAGAGAGAGAATCCAGCATGTTCACTTCAGTGTGATACCCAAAGAGCCAAGCCTTTGAATTTTCAGACTATAGTACCTACAAAGGACCCAAGGGCTGAAGAGATGGCTCAGCAGGTAAGAGCACCTGCTGCTCTTCCAGAAGACGCGTTCAATTCCCAGCACCGACATGACAACTCACAACTATCTGTAATTCCAGTTCCAGGGGATTCGACTCCCTCACACAGACATATACGTAGACAAAAGCATCAATGCACATACAAAGGACTCAAAACTAGAGGTTACTGCAATAGCTTCTGGTGCCAGAGTGACAATCAATATGGCATTAAGTCACCAAGCTACATTCTCTAAATAGCATAACTTAAAAAGAAGACTTAAGAAGCCCAGCTCCAGTAAAGAGAGCTTTGTATGTGGAGCCAGTTATTCTTATTTATCAAGACTGGCAATGTGCAGTGCTCAGTGTACTTAGACCTGTCTTGTGCTCAGTAAGTACTTATCAAAAAAATACACAGCAAATAAAAGTCTAACTTATGTTAAACCTGAAGTCCCACTCCTAGCTGAAGCCCTGCTCCTAGCCGCTCGCTCTTCTGCACTGAACATGTCAACTTGTAACTACCCGGATGAGAGGAAATTACAAGTTCAGCCAGAATCACATTAGGTTCTAGTGTGCCTCATAGCTTACGCTATCTGCCTTAGCCATAGGTTTGTATTGATGGGAAGTGTGTTGTCTATGTTGAGACAGCAGGCACTAGAATCCCAAGGAAACTGTGGAGAAAATTCTTCTCTTCTAAAAAATAAAATAAAAAATGGCTTGATGATGTTATCATCAATAGTTACCTCTTCGGGTTGATTGCGTTGGAAACCAGAGGCATGATCCCTTCCCTTGGAGGGGTCTCTGTTCATTCACCAAGCATATGCTGAGCATCCTATGTGTCAGAGGTGTAGCAGACAGTGCAGATGAATGAGGGAGAAAGTATGGCCAGTACGGTATTGCTATAAGGAGATGATCTCAACTTCACTGGAACAGAATAAGAAGTTTAGAAGTAGACTCACCCACATGATAGTATTTGACAGGAAGGCAAGGTAATCCATCAGAAAGTCGAAAGTCTTCTACAGATGGTGCTAAAACAACTAGGTGTCCATATGGGGAAGTGAGCCTTAACCCATTGGAGCTATGCTCAACAATTGGTAGGCTGGATCATAGAATGGTAAAACTGGGAAGAGAGTAACATGGAACTTTGGGTGAGAAAGGTGTCTCAATCATATTTATTGTTACAGTTGCATAGGGGCATAAAGTGGATACCTAAAATAGGTAAGGATTACTGTATGTGAATGATACTTCCAGGAGTTTGAAAATTGTTTTCAGTTCCCTCACATAATATTCTTGGTGAGTATTAGCTAAGATGAAGACTCCTTAGTCTGACCTGCAAAGTCAGTGGTCAGGGCCTGCCTTGCTCTCACCCACTCTGCAGTGCTAGTCCGTGGTGCTTCCTCATCCAGGACCTGCCTCTGCTATTCCTTTCTACCCAGAGTTCTCTTCCCCCAGATCTTGGCACTGAAGGCCCTGGCTCCTTGTCACTTTCTCAGTGAAGGCTTTCCTAACTAGCTAACTCTGCACCAAGTAATCACAGTGTGTTTTTCTAAGCCTGCATCACCCATTGATATTCTTATTTTCATATGTATGTTCTTTGTTTCTGCTTCTCCCAGGAGACTGTAAGCTCCACTTACCATAAACTACCATTGTTGTCAACTTTTGCATCTCCAAGACTGAGAGGAGAGTCTGCCTGTGGTACTTGTTCAATAAATATTTTTTTGAATGTGTGAAAGGGTTAGAATTCAGATTTTGTGGGATGGGAAAAGAGAGACAAAAGAACAGCACTAAATGGTTTGGACTATGGAAGGCAGTTCCTTGTAGAAGGCTACAGAAATCAGGCAGGGAGCTACAGAAAGAACGAACTGATGCTGCAAAAGACTGCCACACAACGTCTGATAACATGATATGAAGTCGGAATTGATTCTTACTGCCACACAGTTCCCAGAAGGAGCAGTGGCAAGGATGGAAAAAGATCCAACCAATATTTTTAATTGTACTTTTGTTTTTTTAAATTAACTTATTTACGATTTCTTATTAGTTCTTTGAAATTTTCAAATAATTTATTTTGAGCCTGTTCATCCCCCCCCACAACTCCCCCTAAGCCCACACAGCTTCACAGTATCTATTTTTTTTCCTTAAAATCATCAAGTCCAATTTATGCTGTTATATGTTTTTGGATATGCAACATATCCACTTCATCATGGTCAATCTATCAGGGTTCACATCCACTTATTGCATTTTAAATGTTTTCTTGAGAATGTTATATACAACTACACTGTGATTTTTTTTTTTTTTTGTCATTACATCCCACTCCTCACCCAACTTCTCCTCACAGTGAGTGGCTTCCAGGTTCATTGCCTCTTCTAAACTTATTACTGTCATATACTTGTAGATAATCTGAGTCTAGGCGATAATCTACTGACTCAATTTATTGTTGTTCATATGTCCCTGTGTTTAGGCCAACCACTAGGGCCAACCTAGCAGGAGATTAGTCCAGCTCTGCCTCCCGCAGAAGCTGTGATTGCTGTAGTTCTTCATCTAGGGGTGGAGCCTCAAGCAATTTTCTTCATCCTTGTTATCATGTCTACTTGTAGGATTATCTTGAAGACCTTGTTTAGGGAACCATGTCATTAAGAGTTCATGTGTGCAGCTTCCCTGTCAGGTCTAGAAGACACTTTTCTCACATCAGGCATCCTGGTTCTCTGGATCGTACAATCTTTCCACTTCTTCTTCTACCATGTTCCCTGAGTCTTTGTTTTAAGAGTTGGGCACCTCACTGACACTTATTCTCAACATTTGACCAGTTACTACATCTCTATAGTAGTCTTCATCTGCTGTCAAAAGAAGCTTCTATGATGAAGCCTAGGAGTTCCATTTATCTTTGGGTATAAGAATAAAACTTTCGAATACAGTTAGAAGTAGTTAATTATCCTCTAGGGTCTGTTGACTTCTCCAGCCATGTGTAGGCCATAGGAGGACTGTGAGTTCAGTGCCAGTCTAGGTTATAAAGTAAGGCTCTACCTCATATAAAAAAACCATTCAGTAATAACTAAGTGTACCTGGAAAGAGAACCAGTTGCCATGATGCTTTGGGTAGAGGAGACCAATCACTTGGCAACAAGGAGTGATGGTGGGCTTAACAAGTTCTATTTAATGAAAGAGCAAGTAAAATACAGAACATGAGACTATGGGGGGGGGATGGTATGTAAGCAGCTGAGCATGAGATACAAGATGCTTTCCAAAAGGCAGAATAATAAGTACTGGGGATTTAAAACCTGAAGCACTGGTAGAAGAAAGATGGTCTCTGCCACTTTAAGATTAGAATACCACTGGCTTAAGACGCTTGATTCTCAAGCTGATGATGTCATAAGCATTGTGGAAGGTCAATCCTAAACCAAGTGAGTGCAGGTTGACTGCCAGATGTCACCAATGCCTGGCAAGAGTCAGCGCTCATTCCTTCATTATCATAGTGATTAGATGGTTGAGCAGTTCTCCCCAGCAGTGCTCTGCCTCCTGGGTGTAGAAGTGAGGAAGACAGTTGGCTTGATCAAGGGCATCTACGAGCTGAGTAAACATGTCATGAAGATAAAGAGAGAAGCATTGTAGACTGTGGTCTATGTGGTTGGGTCTGAATGAAACATAAATAAAGCACGGAATAATACATGGGGAGAAAGGAGAAAAACAAGGGTCAGAGAGTCCAGGGAAGATAGAAAGATATCTGCAGAGATGGAAGACAATAGCAAAGGTGGTTTATTTAGAACCTGGGGGTTACATGGAACTTTAGAATTTAGAATTTGGGTGTGGCTAGAGGAGTAGTGAATGAAATGGGGGAGTGAAAGGGGTAAGGGAACAAGTGAAAGTTAGAGCTTAGGCATAGAAGAAGCCATCATGTTACTCTATCCATCCTGATGACAGTACCAGCCTTAGGGAGGCAGATGAAGATCAAAACCAGGGACTTCAGTGAGTGACTGTTGGTCAGTTGATAACTAACGCTGATGAGGGGAGTGAGTTGGTACAGTTCATAAGGATGGGGAAATGGGTGAGGGATGGATGCTATCATGAGTTATGAGAACACCAGACTGCTTTGAGGAAGTCCTTCCTAATGCTTGCAGAGTCTGAGCTGGGACCAGTGAAATGTGTTGGAAGATATATGCTTTGAAAAGGAAAAAGGAAGCCTTGGGTTAGTAGGAAGGCAGGGTGTTGGAACCTTTTAGTACCCAGTGAAAAGCAGGAAAGTCAAGAAGGATTGTAGAATTAAGAAGAAGTCATTTAAATTAACAAGTAATGTAATATTCAGGTATGGTGGTCCGTGTCTATAATCCCAGCACTTAGAAGGTAGATGCAGGAGAATTTGGAGTTCATAGCTATCTTCAGCTACATAGCAAATTTGTAGCCAGACTGGGCTATATGATATCATGTCTGAAGAACAACAACCAAAAAGACAAAAACAACAAAAAAAAAGTAAGATATATCAATTTAGCATAAGAAATATATTTGTTCTTATGGTTTTAATACAGAAATGTAAATGTGTACTATTAAGATTACTATCATATAAACTAATATTGGAGTACCAGAATATGTTTTAGTCAAGAAAGACTGAGCTTTGTACCTTTGCTGGATTGCTATTTTTTACAAGTTTTATTTATGGTATCAATGTTAATATTTGTGTGCATATGTTTTTTTTAAAACAGATTCTTGATCAAGTACCAACTCCATGGATCCAGGACAGGTTTGTCCCATGGCCTGCTCTGAACAGTGTGTGGTCTGTTAGAAGATTCCGTCGGCAAACCATCTCTGGCCTTACAGAACAAGCAAAGAAGATGGGTCTTCTGAAGAGCCATCTGACTGTGTGTTTACCACCTTCTGTGCCCTTTTTAATCCTAGTATCCACTCTAGCCACTGCTAAGAGTGTGACCAACAGCACTTTAAATGGCACTGATGTGGTCTTGGGCTCTGTGCCCGTAATCATTGCCAGAACTGACCATATCATAGTCAAAGAAGGGAACAGTGCCTTGATTAATTGCAGTGCTTATGGCATTCCTGACCTAGAGTTTAAGTGGTATAATTCTGTTGGCAAGCTGCTGAAAGAAATCGACGACGAGAAGGAGAGAGGAGGAGGTAGGCTTCAACTTCTATTGTCATAAATTAGAAATGGAGGCATAAGAGCCCACACCCTTAATGTGAGTGGTCCTCATACAAGTCACTTAATGATTCCTTTTTATCTTCTTATGTAAAGGCATAAGGGAGACTGGATACTCTTAAAGACTCAAAGGTGTAACTAATTCATTTTTACAATTCATTGACTTGGAAGACAAAGGGCAAACCCTGATGTCTTTAGACAGAACTCTGAGAAATGGTATGCTATGACCTACTCAAGACATTGTAGAGGTTAGAGAAGGATTTTCCTCAAGTATATGTTCCATTTATAAGACTTCTGTTTCCTGTCATACAAATGGTTCACATAAGCAGTAGAGCAATGGTTTATCATTAACTGTCACTTCAACTTATCCACTATGGATTTAATGACCAACTTCTTAAAGAATTGTCTGTGCAAGCTCTCAGCCACCTGCAGAGTCCATTCCATGCTCCTTCAGACCTAGCTGAGGTCAGGGGTATGGAGGAGCCTGCCTGGAGCTACATATAAGACACTTGGCTTTTAATGAACGAGTTTCTCACCCGAAAAATGTAAATCCTCTTTCCCTGAACCCTGAGCTTACCTCACCAGAGATCACATCCGAGACAGGCTCTCTCAGCATCCAGAATCTTCTCTTTTTGTGAGAAGTAATTGTATGAAAATCCAAGCACTCTGTGATTGACATGAAAGAGTTAATCTGCTTGATTAGGCTTTTGGCTAATGAAGTAGGGCATTGGGGGTGGGGGAATACAAAGACGGTTGTTCAGAAGCAGCCCTCTCCTCCCCTTCTTCTGCTTTGCCCTCTCCACTCCTTAACCCTCTAACCAATGAGCAATCCCCAAAAGAGTTTCTGCTCCAGAAAAAAATGCTCCGTATTTAATCTCTTCCCCTCATATTATCTTAATTGCTCTGCAAACGGAGAAAGCCAAATGCTTTGCATCTCCTTAGGAGGTTCTTGTAATTGCACACTTCTGTGTCACGGTTATGTTCCCAATGGAGCAGGCTGCTAGAAGTCTAACTGCCTGGGATGTGCCCCTGGCTGTCATATTACCTCTGACATTGTTTTGTTTAGCCACTCCGAACTATACTATAGAGCCACTTCCCTTCAATCAAAATATTATACATTTTATATATCATATGTACATTTAACCTAGACAAGGGACAGCCATTCTCCACCAACTCAAATTGTGCTTTCATAGGAATTCTAAGGGAGAATGGACTTTACAGATATCATAGTCATCTCCTTTATTGAAATCTGCCTGAGGTGCTACTGTCAATCATACTATTGCTAGAACCTTCACCACTGACAGTAGAGAGACGAGAAACACCCCCCTCCCCCTCCCCGTTTATTCTACAACCATAAGTCAAAAGGATGACATCACACTAGTGAAGGGAGGCCCATAGCCATGGTAACACACATGCAGGCCTCAGTAACCTTAGCAGGTCTTTATACAGGGCTGGGCCACTCCTAGAAACATCAGGATGACCAAACTGAAAGGAACAAGAACTCCAGACCAGATTCCACCTTTCACATGAATTGTGAAACAAATGTAACCCCTTTGATATTTAAGAAGGAGTTTGTGCTCTGAACTACCAAGTCCTAGAGAGGAAGAAACCCATGGTAACAACGTAATACTGGAGCCTAACATTCAGTTACATCATTTTGAATGTTGTTCCAGAATAGTACCTACTGCTTCAGAGAAGGTCCTAGGAACCATGGAATCAGTCTCAGCAAGCAGACACACTGGCTTGCCTTCTTCATCAGCCCACAAAGGTGATTGGGCTATACTAGACGGTGGTTACATTTGCTTTCAATTTGTTTTGCTTGTAGAAGCTCAAGTGGCCTATTAGAAGATCCTGTCTGTCGACTGTGAGCTGTCCCAGCAGTGTGAGAACTTGTAGCATCATTCAACACTCACATCTTCTTCGCAGACTTGCTGATAAATCAGCTGGCTGCTTTAAATCTCATAAAAGAAGATGTATTTTCAATTTCTCAAAAAGAACGCACCACACGATGCCAGTACTCGATGTCCCCGCACAGCTTTTGTAATTACAGCTTTTGTAATTACAATGCAGAATAATAGTAATTTCTGAGCACAAGGCACATGGGGAAATGCAGCAAGCATCACACCTAGCAAGTAGGCAGCACGTGGGAAGTGGCAGAGAGGATAGTTCCTCAGGAAGCGTTAGCATGGAGCTGCCATGGAACTGGGGCAGCCTGGGAGAGCCCACAGCCTTTAATTTCTCATTATATAAATGTCCATTTTATGACACAGACATAGACTTCTGTTTTCAAGCCAGTCCACTAGGGGATTTAAATTGGGAAGCATTTCATTTAGAATGGAGCAAAAGGGTGATTGGATACAGGATGAAAATCGTGCTGGTATGCCATTAGCAGGAGTTTATATTCCTACAGGGGGACTGTTTAAGCGAGATAGATCAAATTTGGATCGTCTTCACTAACAACTACTGCATATAAGTTACCAAGTTATATGTAAAACTTCCAGTCCTTATGGTAAGCATGTAAGGGAGATGCTGCTGGTCCTCAGGGATGCAGACAAGAAATCAGAAGGCTGGAGAAGACACTATACAACCAGGGCAAAGCCAGTTATTTACCCTGTGCTAGACCAGAGTCTGTTTAGCCTGAAGGTCTCAACCAATGAGAAATATTGTGGATCATCTAACACAGCTAGAAGACCACTTAACCACTATCATCCTAGTTATAGTTGGAATTTTTTTTGCTGTAGGGTTGCGTGTGTCATGCACACATAAATATGTTCAAAATCATTGGCCAGGTTGCTCTCATGAGCTGATTACCATTGACTTTGTGACTAGCCTGGAAAGAAACAATTTCATATCTCGTGTATGCAGAAAGAGTGACAAAGCTACTCTGCGTGGCAGTCCCATCTGTGCTAGAAAGAATGGGGCCATTTCCTGTCCTGACATGTGCAGCAGCAGCTGATTCGTTTGGCTTTCTTTACCTCAGTTCATTTCCACGGGACTAGGAAACCATGAAATGTAATCTCCATCTGAGAGTTACAGTTACATTTCAGAAGTTCACTAAAAGAGTGTTTTGAGTGGTCTACCAACTGGGATCAGAATTCAAACATGCATGAGCACAACTGGCCAGAAATGTACTGTTTCCATTTTTCTTTTGCTGGACATGAGTAGAAACATCTACTTGACTGAGAAGGGTTGAGAAAAGTCCCTGATTATTTCAGACAAGCTAATTCTCTAATGTATTTCACTACGCTTTCTTACTGTAATGTTAAACCATTTAAACTCACATTAATACCTCCATCAGAGGTGTATATAATAAAAGTAGTAAGTATTTCAAGAAAGTCAACTTGTGCAAGACCTTAGAAATATGCCTGGCTGTTAGGGTTGGCAAATTCTTTTTTAAAACTCTTTCCTTAAAAATCTACTTTGTGTGTGGATTTATTTTACGTAATACTCTGTTGTCTAAATCATTTAAGAATTTCCTTGACTACACAGCTTATGAGAAAACTGACCAGAAATGCCTTTACATTGCTTCAGTGTATCACAGAATCTTTTAATAGACTGGAAATGCCCTTTAACCAGTTCTGCAAGGCACAAGTCACTCAGGTTTCAAGAGGGTCATTTCTCTCTTCTCTGCTTTATCAAGCACACACACACACACACACACACATGTACACTCACACACTCATATATATACATACTCATGCATATGCACACATACTCATGAACATGAACACATACTCCCCCCACAGTCATGCACACACACAAACTCTTACATACACTCACAGATGCACATCCTCATGCATACACATACAGGCATACACACCCCTATAATATACACATATGTAGTGTACACTACATAAGATATAGGGGATCAGTTCTCACAGAGGTAAATATAAATGTTCCTTTACCTTCAGTGTAAAGTAGGAAAACTATCTACAAATATGCCACAAATCCCTTATTTAGTACATTAAATACTTGAGAATTTAAAAACACTCTCCCAAAGGCATTAAACCAAGTTTTTGCAGTTTAAGTGGTGAGCTGTTCTGAGCCCAGGTTTTCTCTTCTGTAAAACAGTGAGAATCCTTTCTTTATAACCAAGCTGAGTTGCAAGTCTTGAATAGACACTTCTCTGTTAAATCCTTGGCACAGTACCTAGAACTTACATCTACACACACTCATGCACACACACACACACACACACACACACACATGTACACCTATAATATACATAACATTCAGTGTACATAAGATATAGCTCACAGTATATGACAGCTGCTATTATTGTTAATATTCTGCTCTGTCCTCACAATAATATGCTTCAAGTGCTAAAATCCCCATTTCCTAATATGGAGTCTTTTGTAATACAAAGAATTTTTGGATAATTTCTCATTTTTGTCTCAGTTTTTCAACCTCAAAAAGTTACATTTTGGGAGCTGGAGAGATGGCTTACAGTTAAGAGTGTTGGCTGCTCTTACAGGAGATTATATTCAATTCCCAGCACCCACATAATGGCTGATAACCATCTGTAAGTCCATTTCCAGAGGATCCAATGCCTTTTGCTGGCCTCTACATTGTACCAGGAATCCAGGAAGTAAACAGACATACAACATAAAGGCAAAACATTCATACCCATAAATCAAAATAAGTGAACCTTTTTCAGTTTTATTTTTGGCCTGGTAGCACAGCTCAGTAGGTAAGAACATTTGCCCTGCAACTTGAGTTTGATCCTCTGGCACCCATGGTGGAAGGAGAAAATCAGCTCCCGATGCCCTGTCTGACCTCCACACACTAATAATAAGCGTAATTTTTTTCATTAAGTGCAAAAAAAAATTAATATCCCTTGGAATGCTATTTGAAATTTGAAATTTCAAAATAAACATCCTGTCCATTTAGTAGCTGGTCATTTTTGTGTGTAAACTGTTTTTTTGATGGCTGTTACCCTTCTTCTCCTGAAGGCAAAGTATATGAAAATTACCAAGTA